ATAGTTATTGTTTTTTGTATTTGTTGTGGGGACACTTAAGATCTATTGTCTTAGAAAATTTCAAGTGTATAATACAGTATTGTTAGCTACAGTGAACATGCTGTATGTTAGGTCTCCAGAACATATTCATATGATACTGAAAGTTTGTACACTTTGACCAACATCTCCCCATTTCCTCCATCCCCATTCCCTAACAACTACCATTATATTCTGTTTCTATGAATTTCACTTATTCCATTTTTTTTAGTTTCCAGTTATAAGTGATACCATACAGTATTTTTCTTGTTCTGTTAGGGTTATTTCACTTAGCATAATGTCATCCAGGTTCATCCATGTCATTGCAAATGGCAGGATTTCCTTCTTTTTGTGGCTGAATAATATTCCCTTGTATATATATACCACATCATCTTTATCCATTTATCCATCAATAGACATTTAGGTTGTTTCCATGTCTTGGCTATTGCAAAATTTTGTATGTGAATATCCAGTTTTCCCATTTGTTGAAGAGACTATCCTTTCCTCGTTGTCTATTCATGGCACCCTTGTCAAATATCAGCTCACTATATATGTGTGGGTTTAATTCTGAGCTCTCTATTCTGTTCCCTTGGTTTATGTGTCTGTCTTTATGCCAGTATCACACTGTTTTGATTAGAGGAGCTTTGAAATCAGAAAGTGTGATGCCTCCAACTTTGCTCTTTTTTCTTCAGGTCACTTTGGTTATTCTGGATGTTTGCGTTTTCATATGAATTTTAGGATTATTTTCTATTTTTGTGAACAATGCCATTGAGATTTTGATGGAGGTTGCATTGAATCTGTACATTACTTTGGATAATTTGGACATTTTGACAATATTAAATCTTCCAATTCCTGATCACAGGGTGTCCTTCCTTTTATTTGTATGTTCTTTAATTTCTTTCATCAATGTTTTGTAGTTTTCAGTATACAAGTCCTTCACCTCCTTAGATAAGTCTATTCCTAAGTATTTTATTGTTTTTAATATGCTTGCAAATGATATTGTTTTCTTAATTTCTTTTTCAGATGGTTTGTCGTTCATGTACAGAAATGCGATTAATTTTTCTACATTGATTTTGTATCCTGCAACTTTACTGAATTTGTTTGTTAGTTTTAACAGTTTTTGGATGGAGTCTTTAGGATTTTCTGTATAGAAGACCATACGAAAATAGACACAATTTTACATCTTCCTTTCCAATTTGGATGCCTTTTATTTCTTTCTCTTGTCTAATTGCTGTGACTAGGATTTCCAGTACTATGTTGAATAGAAGTGGTGAGAGTGGGCATCCTTGACTTGTTACTGATCTTAGAGGAAAAGCTGTCAGATTTTCCCTGTTAAGTATGACTTTAGTTCTGGGCTTTTTATATGTAACTTTTATTATGTTGAAGTAAGTTCATTCTATACCTAGTTTTTGAGATTTTGTCATGAAAGTATGTTGAATTTTGTCAAATGCTTTTTCTGCAACTATTGAGATGATCATGTGGGTTTTTTCCTCATTCTGTTAATGTGGTGTATCACCTTAATTGATTTGCATATGTTGAACCATCTTTGCATCCCAGGGATAAATGTCACCCGGTCATGGTATAGGACCCTTTTAATGTGTTGTTGAATTTGCTTTGCTAGTATATTATTGAGGATTTTTACATCTAAGTTCATCAGGGTATTGGCCTTGAGTATTCTTTTCACGTAGTGTCTTTGACTGGCTTTGATATCAGGGTAATTCTGGTCTCATAAAACGAGTTTGGAAGTGTTCTTCCTTATTCAATTTTTTGGAAGAATTTAAGAAGGATTTCTGTTAATTCTTCTTTAAATATTTGATAGAATTCACTAGTGAAACCATCTGGTCCCAGGATTTTCTTTGTTGGGAGGTTTCTGGTCACTAATTCAAACTCCTTATTTGTTATTGGTCTCTTCAAGGTTTCTACTTCTTGATGATACGATCTTGGTAAGTTGTATGTTTCTAGGAATTTATCAATTTCTTCTAGGTTATAACTCAGCAAATTTACTAAAAATCATTGAGGTGAATTTTATTGTATAAAGTTGCAAAAATAAAAGATTAAATCATATATCTTAACCTGTATATTAAGTGAATGAAAATAAATAAATCTAAGCATTGAGTAAAACTCAATTTTTATTGTTCACTGATAATATTATAGTTTATCTAAAATATCAAAAACAATATACAGACAAAATATAAGAATAAACTAGTGAATTTAGCAAAGTCGTATATTGACTGTGACATTGAAAAGTCAACTGTATTTCTATATGGTAAAAAAAAGTGAATATGAAATTTAAATGATTACACTTCTTTTAAATTTCACACAAATATGAACTACCAAGGCAAAGTTCGAACAAAAGGTGTGTAAGACCGCCTAAAATGTATTGAAAGAAAATAAGAAGATATAAACAAATGAAGATATATAACACGTTACCATATTGGAGATTAAATATTTTTAAAATGTTAGTTCTCTCTAAGCTGTTTTGTATTTTGAATACTATCCCAAATAAAATAGCGATAGTTTTTTTTTGTTTTTAATTGTTAAGCAGAATCTAAAATTCAAATGGAAATGCTTAGATATTTAGTCATTCGATTTATGACGAAGACAATATTGCAGTGGAATGGAGAAAGGACGGAATTTTTAAGGAATTGTTGTAAATCTATTGGATATTAATTTGTGTCAGTATTTTAAAACATACGCCAAAAGTGAACCCAGATGGACTTTATATACATATATTAAAGGCAAAATAAGAAATTTTTAAGATAAAATCCTGGAGGAATATCTTCAAGATCTTTTGGTAGACAATAATTTCTTAAATAAGACACAGAGTTAACCACATATGGAAAATATTTTTGCATAAGACTATGTTAAGATATATGAACACTGCTCATCAAAAGACCAATTAGGATTATGAGAAAAGCAAGCCACATAATGAAAGAATGGATTCTCAATACTTATATCCAGTAAAGGGCTTATATACATGATACTCCTAGACACCAATAAGAAAAAAAAAGACCACCCAATAAAACAGAAATTGACTAGGAACAGACCATTTACAAGAGAGAATACTCAAATGATCAATAAGCATAGGCAAAGGAGATAAACTTCTTGAGTTATCAGACAAATGCAAACTAAAACACCAACACTACTTCTACAAACTAATTAGAATGTGTACAGTAGAAAAGATGGACAGTACAAACATTGACAAGCAAGTGAACCAAACCTGTTTATATATTGCAGAGAGGAGCGTAAATTCATGCAAGCACTTTGTCTAACTTCAAAAATATATATCTATCTATTAATTAATTGAAATATACATACATTTTCATCCAAAAGTTCCATCACTAGATATATGCACAAGCCCCAAAATGGGAACAACCAAATGTCAATCAAAACTAGCATGTATGAATGCATTAAAGAATAGAGACACAATTGAAAATGATAAAGCCACGAGAAAATTTAACCATAGCTATACAGAACAAAAATAAAAATGGAAACACTAAAGAGGACATACTTTATGCTTTTATGTAAAACAGCCAAACTGGTCAATTGTATTTGAAATCAGGATAATGGCAATAAAGTAATATAGCTAAACACATGATTTTTTGAAATCATACATTTCTGAGGTTAGGTCTTGGGGGAGCTGCTTAATAGATCTCCCTGGGCTTTAGTTTGATTCTTTGTAAATATGGAAAATATTAAGACCGTTATAACAGGATTGTGCTGAGGAGTAATAAATATACATTTAAATGCTTAATGAGGGGCCAGCCCCGTGGCTTAGCAGTTAAGTGTGCGTGCTCCGCCACTGGCGGCCCGGGTTCGGATCTCGGGCGTGCAACGACGCACCGCTTGTCAGGCCATGCTGAGGCGGCGTCCCACATACAGCAACTAGAAGGATGTGCAACTATGACATACAACTATCTACTGGGGATTCGGGGAGAAAAAGGAAGAGGATTGGCAATAGATGTTAGCTCAGGGCCGGTCTTCCTCAGCAAAAAGAGGAGGATTGGCATGGATGTTAGCTCACGGCTGACCTTCCTCACAAAAAATAAATAAATAAATGCTTAATGAATGCCAACTGTGATAGCTACTCAACTCTTTCATAGATATAACAGTTTGGTAACTTATGAATTTCTCACATATGAAAATAAATGAAGTTGAGTGGTAATATGAAAATTCATTTTAATATGTGTTGGTATTAGTAGCAGATAGAGGTGGTTATAAGAGAAAAAATGGAGATAAAAATCTTCTTAGAGCCCAGGGAAGTGGGCTCCAAATTCTTGCCATCTTGCAGTGAACATCATCAGGGTATAGGAGAGATTGTAGTTTCACTGCAGAGCATTAATACACGGAATTCAGAGGCCAGGTAGGAAAAAAAAAACAATCAGGTGAAAATAAAGTTGAGAGAAAATGTAAAATCGGACCAAGAGTGGAGTGGCTAAGAGTTAAAAGGTTGTTAATAAGAGTTGGCCAAGTTACAACTGTTGCAGGAGACACATTTTATAGCCCTCATAAAGGCCCATGACAGTGAGATGGAATTAATGACACCAATGGATGTCCTTGGTCTTGAACATTTCATTCACTTTTCATATCCTGACTCTTTAGGCTGTAGATGAAGGAGTTCAGCGTGGGGGCGACAACCATGTACATCACAGAAGCAATGATGTCCTTGTCTTTGGACTTGCCTGATGAGGAGAAAAAAGTAAATGCCTGCAATTGACCCATAGCATAAAAACACTACAAAGAGGTAAGAGCCACATGTAGAGAAGGCTTTGCAGATTCTCTTGGTGGGGGGGGGCCTTCAGGATGATGACTGCCATGCAGACATATGAACCCAAGATAGCACTCAATGGCAAAATGAAGATCAGTCCTCCCTAAATGAGGATAAGGAGCTTATTGTGGGAGGTGTCTGAGCAATGGGAGGTGACTTGAGGACAACAGCAAGACCACAAAAGATGTGGGGGATGATAGTCCCTGCACAGAAGGACAATTGGTCCATGAGGAGGGCAGGCAAGAGAACATGGCCACAAGAGGAGAACCTGGACCCAGCCACCAGGATGATACAAAGCTCATCCCTCATGATGGTGGTGTAGTGGAGAGGGTGATAGATGGCCATATACCTGTCTTATACCATCACTGCAAGCAGAATGTTGTCAATAAAGCTAAAATTAATGAAGAAATACATTTGTAAAATGCACCCAGCCTAGGGGATGGATTGATCCGGACTACACACGTTTTTCAGTATCTTAGGGATAGTGACAGATGAAAGGGAGCCATCAGTGAGGGCCAACTGGCTGAGGAAGAAGTACATGTGGGTGCAGAGGCGAGAGTCGAGCCTGATGAGCAGGATGATGAGCAGGTTCCCCAACACCATGGGCAGGTACATGCATAGGAACAGGGTGAAGAAGAGATCCTCATGCTTTCGTAGAATGGGGAACCCCAGGAGGAGGAACTCAGACACACTGCTTTGGTTCTCAAGCCTCATGCTACTCGTCTATATGCTGAAGATGAAGAAGGTTTGGAAATCTCAGGAACCTAGAAAAGATGATCAGAACCACCATGTTTCATAGTGTAATTCTGTGGGAAAACAATGAATTTTAACTGCACTCTCATTAATATCTCACACTTATGGATGAGTGCATCTTCCCTCTATCACAATCTGGCTCCAAGAAACCATCACACCCAAAAGCAGCCAACAGGACCTCATTGCACAGAAGCAAGAATGTGTTTACTGTTTCATTCAACCCCAATTTATTGAACATTGAGTCTGAACATGAACTTCTACTAAGGACTGAGAGTGCAGCAGTGAACAGAGGCAAGACCCCTGCTCTTTGTGAGAGTAGAGCTTGATGAGCATAGAGGGATGATTCACTACACTAAGACAGAGACAAAGTGTAATAGTTTACTGTGGTAGAAATAGTAGTTGAGCCTCCGCAAACTAGTATCAGTTGTTTCTGCCTAAAGTAATAAGAGACTCCAGTGCTGAACAGCCTTGTTGGAGCATTGTCACACTCCTCCCGTGACCCTCACCAAGTCCCTTTCACCTAAACTCAAGTCACTCTAGAAGTGGGTGGTCGTATAAAGCTGCTTGATGCCAGAATAGTTTCCAAAACAAAATAATAGTCCACACATAATGCTTCATAAGAATGGAGAATATATTGGTGAACATTTGGGTACTAGGCTAAGGACTTTATGTACATTTCCTAATTAAATCACCACATCAGATTTACATTCCCAGATTTTAAAAATATGTTCACAGCTGCACTAAGAATTTATGTTTTTTCACTCATTCTAAAGCTAAAAGATTTTAAGAAATAGAAACATAAATGATATCAATTCCATAGGCCCACAACAATACAGTAGGAGATAAAGATGGCACACACACACAAATGTGTGTGTATATGTATCTGTAATATATATGATATGTAATGTACATAATATATAACACATATAACTCAGTATCTATATTACCATTTTCTGTCAATTAAAAATTATAAAGTACTCTATGTGGTTCAGCTACTTCATGATCACAGCCCATGATCTTAACCACTACACATGAAAACTTCTCCTTTAATTGGTTAGGGGACCCAGCACCCTACATTATTTTATAGCTGCAAGGAAACCAAAGTTGTCGCAAATTTTTTTTGTCTCCTACCTAGAAAATTTCATTAATTCTTATTTAGATACTTTCCAACTGAACAAAGTTCTCACATACATTAACTTCCATTTAAACAGTAAATATTTACTGAGGGCCTGTAAGGTTCACAAGGAAAGTGTAATTCTTTCCATTTTATAGATGTGGAAACTGAGGCCGAGGAGTTAAGTAACTTTCCCAAGGTCTCTCCGCTATTTGATGGTGATTCTGCACTCTAACTTCACACAGCACGATGTCTGGTGTTTTTTTCCTGGAATATTTAGTGAAAGTAAAGAGTTACAAAACTTTTAGTGACTCAGTCATACTCAGTTATGTGAAAATAATAGCAGATCCTTTTCAGGAAACATGGAGTTGCTTGGAGTTTGATTATCTCAACCAATGGTGCCCTAGAACGAGGGAACTTAAGGAAATCTTTGAGGTCATGGATGCAAATCAGATGCCCACAAACACACATTCACACCCAGCTACAACAAGCAGCACACACACTCCCATTACTGAGAGGCACGCTTTGGCCCCTTCTGACCCACACCCTTCCTGGAAGAAGTCAGTCAGCATGAGGCAGTTAAGCGCTTTCATACAGGCACAGTCATTAACCACCAATAACCCATGCAGGTGGTAACTTACGCATCGTAACATAAACACAGACAAAAGCAAGCAATATACATGCCTGCTCTCACACGCGAGTGTGTCACCCACAAACACAGCTCACACGTACACTAGCACATGCTGCTGAGCAGAGATTTGAGCCCTTTCTGACCTGGGTTCCTTGATGAGGTCGGGCATCTTCTTCTCCAGCAGCGGAGACAACAGTCTCACTCCCAATGCTGAGCTCTCATCCACTCTGCTGTGATGCAAATATTTAAGATCACAGGCATGAATCAGGGGTCCCTAATCACATGTTAGGAGTCTGATAACTTGGTCTACATGCACTAAAACAGAGACCAGGTTGGATCTAAGTCAGGAAAAGAATCAGGCTGTGAGTCAGATACACAGCACACATTCACATGCAACTATCATACAACATAAACACAACCATACACAATACATGTGGACACACAGTCCCTTGGACCTGTGCTCCTCATTGGTGACGTCAGACAGCTTCTGCTCCACACTGTTGCCCAAATCTTCAACTTCTCTTCAGGAGACTTGGTATCCAAACAAATAGAAGAAATACCTGTGGCCCTGGTGCTTCTACAGACTTTAATATTCCTTAACACGCTCCAGAGAAATTAGTCAAAAGATAACATTTTAATTACCAGAGAGAGGACTGAAATAAAATCTTCAAGCTTATGGCTAATTTCTAATTGTCCTTTAGGGAGCTCCATTTCCAGGAGCCAGAGGGACTGTGTTCCTGATGCCAGTAACGCCCTGGACTCCTTTCTTCTTGGGCAGGGTTCCAGCTGAGACAAAGGATTTTTTAGCTTTTTATTTTAAAATTATTTCAGACTTATAGAAATGTTGTAAAAATGATACAAAAAATTCCTACATACACCTCACCCACATTTCCTGAATGGTTAACATTTTACTATGTTTAATGATGTATGTATGTGTATATGTATATTTCAGGTGTAGACTTTCAACATGTCTACCACAGTGCATATTATTGGAAGACAAATTGTATTCGTTTTTTCAAGACTTGTGTTTTTATCCTTGATTAATTGGTTAAGGTGATGTCTGCCAGGTTCTCTACTGTGAAGTTACTATTTTAACCCTTGTAATTAATAAATATTTAGAGAAAATGTAACCATAAGTTTTTTCAATTTCACCTAATGGTGACTTTCTAATTCTATCATATCTTCTACATTTATCACTTGTATTATACTACAAGAAGTAACTTTCCATCAGCCCCAATCATTTGTTTTTTCATTGATTTATTTATATCATTATGGACTCATGGGTTCTTAGTTATTTGAGTCATAAACCATTACTGTTGTTATTCATTTTGAAGCTCAAACTATCCCAGATTTTGCCAGTGGGAGCCCCTTCAAGATGGCCCTATCTCCTAATGGTTCATTGAGCACTTTTTGGGTTTCATTCTCAGCAAAATTTTCTTGGATAATCTTGTCAGGTCCTGTCCCTGACCTGGAATCACCCATTTTTGTAACATTGGTCCCTTTTAGAGGAGAATGGTAAAGAGTAAATTTGGTGTTAGGTGTTTTCATTGCTTTCAAGGGTTCTATATGATCTCAGAGGTTGCAGCTAGGAAATATATATAAAAGAAACACAGGAAGTAGAAACTAGAAACTAGTAAACTAAAAGAATGGTTACCCATAGGAGGGGGGCCAGGAGTGTCACAGAAAGAAAGGGAATGAGAACAGTATAGATATTGACACATACAACATATAACTTTTAATCTGTTTATACATTTGAAAAATCGTGGTTCAGGTCGATATCTACAATTCCAGTTTGACACACTAGAGTTCTTTCCAGGCTCTCCTTCTCTATGTATTAGATGCCTTTCCCTGATAGAGAGGAGTCATTCCCTTTTCCTCAATATGTTTACTTATTTGCTGAATCGTGAATACATGCTAAGTAATTTCAGAATCTTAAACTCATACCACTGCTAATGATAAACTAACTGCAGCTCAAAAAATTTGTTTACTTTTTTTTTTTTTTTTATTTCTTGTGACAGTATATAGACAAAATTCTGTGTTCAAGAGTCACTTAGGTTAGTTATTTTATTTTCCCCTATCATATTATTATGGTTATTAATTTGAAATGTAGGTAGGTCCATTTGTTTTGTTTATGCTATTTTGCTTTATTCCCCACACTCTTCTTTTTATTGTTTAGTAGGCAAAAGATAACATAGTAAAATCTGTACAAATAAATACACTCATCTCGCCCTATTTTCTACCTCATTCCCTCCCATCTTCTATAGATAAGAATCTCATTTGTTGCTGATGTCTTCTTCATTTTGCTCAAATGGGCAGACACATGTATGCTTTACATACTCTTCATTTTTACACAAAAAGTAGCATGCTACAGATGTTTTTTTACATATTTTTTTTTCCATTTAACAATATTTCCTGGAAATCCCTCCATATGGATACATAGATATCTGTCATTTTTTTCACATCTGCAAACTACTCTATTGCATTGATGTTCCATAGTGTTTCCTTTTAGAGTCCTAGAATGAGATAGTTGTGATGAACATACCAAACGCCACTGAATTATACATCTCAAATGGATAAAATAGTAAACTTCCTGTTATGTATTATGCTACAATAAAAAAAATTCAAAGAGAACGTAAGAAGTAATCTCAATATAAACACAGAAAAGAATTATAAAATAATAGTAATGTACAAGTAATAAGTTCTTAGAGGGGGACTGGAATAACAAAATATATATTTAATTAATCAAAAGGGAGAAAGAGAAGACAGAATAAATATTAAACAGATATCTCAAATAGAAAACATATAGTAATACGGAAAATTCAAATATATCATGATGGAATTAGATGTTAATAGATCAAATACTCCAGAAATATAATGAATGTTGATTTGCATACAAAGAGCAAAACCCAAATTTACACAGTTAAAAACAAACACCTCACAGATGTAAGGACATAGAAAGGTTTAAAGTAAAGTGATGGAAAAGAAATACCACGCAAAAACTAACCCAAAGAAAGCTGGTATATCTATACGAATATCAGAAGAAGTAGATGAGATGTTAAGGTTGGAGCTGTTGTAGAGGTGAAGAGGAATTTCTCCTAATTAAAAATGCAGTGGTGTGCTGTTAAATGCGTACAAAATGACTCTGTTTTTTTACAAAGTCTTGATTTGTAGCATATTCCGATTTCTATAGTGTCATTATTCCCATTACGTCTGATTTCAATCTACTAACATGATGTCACTGAATGTGGAGTTGGGAAGAAATGTACACAATCAGCTTGAAGCCAACAAAGCCAGACTCAGCACACCACTCCATCAAAGACTCAGTCCTCCAGGAGCAGATCATGATGCTAAATCTATGTGTCCTCAATAACACAGCATAAAAAATACATAAGCAGGAACTGATAAACCGAAAAGGAGAAAAAGATAAATCCACAATATAATTGTGGGGCATGTTTTGTATAAGATTTTATACATATAAGAGACGACGAATAAGCAGAAAAACTTAATCAGGAATAAATATTTAGCAACCCAACTGGCAAAATTGACCTAGTAAACATGGTAACAACACTGTACATGAGAGCAGATTGCATATTCTTTTAAAGTTATATGGAATTGTCAACCACACAATAATTTTTGGAAATACATCAAACTGTGCATGACCGTGATAAGAGGATTTGGTAATTGTCACTTCAAGAAGTTAGCCTATCAACGAATATTTTTAGGGCCTGTTTTATATCTCTGTTCCTCAGGCTATAGATGAAGGGGTTCAGCATGGGGGTAACTGCTGTATACATAGCCGAAGCAATTATGTCTTTCTCATTGGGGCCCCCTGATGAGGAGAAAAAGTAAACACCTGCAACTGTCCCATAGTATAAAAATACCACAAAGAGATGGGAGCCACAGGTAGAAAAGGCTTTAAAGAATCTCTTGGTGGAGGGGACCCTCAGGACAGTGGCCACAATCCAGATATATGACACCAAGATGCTACTCAATGGCAAGAATAATAGCATTCCTCCCTCAGTGAAGATGACCAGCTCATTGAGGGAGATGTCTGAGCAGCTCATCTTCAGGAGTACAGTGAGGTCACAGTAGAAGTGGGGGATGGTATTGTCAGCACAGAAGGACAGTTGGACCAAGAGGAGGGTGTGCAACAGGGCATGTGCACAACTGAGGAACCAAGACCCAGCTACTAATGAGACACACAGCTCCTGCCTCATAACAGTTGTGTAGTGGAGTGGCTGACAGATGGCTACATACCTGTCATATGCCATCACTGCAAGAAGGAAATTGTCTAGACAACCAAAAACTAAGAAAAAACACATCTGAGAAATGCACTGCACATAGAGGATAGATTGTTGCTGAGTCTGCATGCTCACGAGCATCTTTGGAATCGTGACAGATGAAAGGGAAATGTCAGAGAAGGCCAAGTGGCTGAGGAAGAAGTACATGGGGGTGTGGAGGTGAGAATCCAGCCTGATGAGCAGGATGATGAGCAGGTTCCCCAGCATCATGGTCAGGTACATGACCAGGAACAGGGCGAAGAATATGCCCTGCTGCTCCTGTTGGATGGACAGCCCCAGAAGGATGAACTCTGACATGCTGCTCTGATTCTCAGGCCTCATACTGCTTTTCTATATACTGAAGATGTAGAAGGTTTGGGAATCTCAGGCACCTAGAAATGATGATCAGGACCATTGTATCTCATGCTTTAATTCTCTGAGAAAAGAGTGAATTTTTAAATACACTCTTTAATGTTTCACGCCTGTGGATGCATACATCTCCACTCTCTCCCAGTCTGGCTCCAGGAAAACATCACACCCAAAAGCAGCCAAGTCCTCATTGCACAGAAGCAAGAGTGTTCATTGTTTTATTCAACCATTATTTATTGAACATTGAATTTGAATATGGACCTCTACTGAGGACTGAGAATGCAGCAGTGAACATAAAGGCAAGTCTTCTGCCCTATGTGAATGTAGGTATTGATGAGCATAGAGGGATAATTCATTACACCAAGACAGAGCCAAATTGTAATAATTCATTGTGGCAGAAATAGTAGATAAGCCTCAGTGAACTGGTATCACTTGCTTCTGATATAAAGTCATATGAGACCCCATTGCTGAGGCAGTGTGGCTGGAGCATTGTCACATTCCTCCAGTGAAACTGGCTCGGTCTCAGTGACCTACAGCTGTAACTCACAGTCATTCTAGAAGTGGGTGGTCATTTAAAAAATCTTCCCAATGCCAGAATAGCTCCCAAACGAGAATAATCCACAAATTATCTTTCATAAGAGTGGTGAACATTTTGGTGAACATTTGGGTACTAGCCTAAGGACTTTATCTATGTTCCCTAATTAAATCCACACATCAGCCTTACGTTCTCAGATTTACAAAAAAATTTTCCAGCTGCACTAACAATGGATGTTCTTTCATCAATTAGCTCTTAGGAAACAGAAACATAAATGATATAAATTACACATATATACGTAAACTATATACATTACCATTTTCTGTAGGTTGAAAATAATAAACATTGATGACTTCATGCAGTTCTCTGTAATATGTCTGTGTAATCAGAGCCCATTCTCTTAGCCACTCCATGGGGAAACTTCCTCCACCATTAGTTAGCAGATCCAGACAGCCAGTGTTGTTTAGGGCTACAAAGTAGCCAAAGTAGTTCAAACTTATCTTGGTTTCCAGCTTAGAGAGTTCCCTTCGTTTATATTGATCTATTTTCCAATTGACAAAAGATTCTCACATTCATTACCGTTTATTCAAACAAATACTCATTGAGGGCCTGTATGTTTCATGAAGTAAGTGTAATTCCTTCCATTTTATAGATTGACAACTGAGGCCGTGGAGCTAAGTGATTTTCCCAAGGTCTTGCCAACGTGTGCTAGGGTTCTGCAGTCTAAATTCACACAGGATGATGGTAATTTGTCTTTGCCTGGAACAATAAGTGAAGGGTTGAAACACTCTGAGTGACTCAGTCGTACTTAGGCATATTAAAATCATAGCAGATCCATTTCAGAAACAGGGAGTTGCTTGGAGCTTAGGTTATGTTAGTCAATGGTGCTCAAGAGGAAGGTGCTAAAGGAAATATTTGAGTCACGGGGGAAAATCAGAAGCCCCAAACACACATAAAAATCACACACACACACAAACACACACACACACACACACACACACACACACTCACAGCTGATTTGAGGATTTCAGTTACTTTTGACCAATTCCCATCCTAAGGGAAGGAAAGCCAGTATGTGGTTCAGTTGACAAATACTCATATACATGCATACAAGTCATAAATAACATGCAAAGTGAGACATACGCAACACACAATGATGTACCATTCACCGACAAACACACTCACAATGCACATCAACACACTTGACATGTGACGCACCTAGTAAACACTCAACTCACTACATATACATAACTCATCACTATACACACACATCACCAAAACACACAAAGAAAAACCTCACAAGAAACACACACCAACATGCATGCACTCAGCCACACACTCACTGCAACATGCAACATACACACTCCCATTACTGAGAGGCATGCTTGTGCCCCTTCTGACCCACACCCTTCTTTGGGAAGGCAGCCAGCATGGGGCAGTTAAACCTATTCACACAGACACAGTCATTAAACCACCAACAACCCATGTACATGGTAACATATACACAGACAAAAGTAAGCAATACACATTAACGCTCTCACACATAAGTGTGACACCCACAAGCACAGCTTGCACATACACTAGCAATGCTGCAGAGCAGAAAGTTGAGCCTCTCTGACCTCAGTTCTTTTGTGGGGTCAGGCATCTTCTTTTCTAGCAGCGGACACAAAATTTCACTCCTGATGCTGAGCTCTCATCTGCTCAGCTGAAATGCAAGTATTAAGATCACAGACATGAACAGGGGTCCCTAATCACCCTTTGGGAGGCTGATAACTTGGTCTACATGCACTAAAACAGAGCCCATATTGAGTCTAACCAAGGAAAAGAATCAGGCTGTGAGTCAGATACATAGTACACGTGCACACACACACGCACACACAACTATCAAAAAACACAAAAACAAGCATACACACACAGGCACACAAAAACTACACCCATGAATACAAAGCCACAAAAACCCACAAGCACACAGGCAGATCCATCACCAAGTATAGATTTCCAGCTCCCTCTGACCTGTGTTTTTCCTTGGTGAGTTCAGACACCTTCTGCTCCAGACTGTTACCTAAATCCTTAGCTTATCTTCAGGAGACTTGATATTCAGAAGAAAAGATGAAATAGCTGTGGCCTCAACACTTCTATAGATATTCATGTTCTGCAATCAACTCTGGAACAATGAGCAAAAAGATAATGTCCTAAATACCAGCAAGAGGACAGAAATAAAGTACCCAGCTTCTGGGTCAGGGAGGAGCCACTGTAGGCTAATTGGTCAAGTTCTTACTGCTCTTTGGGGAGCTGCATGTCCGGGAGCCAGAGGTGACTGGAGTCCCAGGGAACAATGTCTCTGATGCCAGCAATGCCTTTATGTTTGGGCATGGTTCCAGCTGGGACAAAGGATATTTTAAAAGGCTGTAAAAATGGCTTGTTTACAAAGGTGTTGGCAAGTTTAAGGGAAACAAGTAAGGGATGGTGATGTACTCAGGGATAGCAGCAACAGAAAACAGGTGCCAGGGGTGGGAGTGGTTATGAAAAGCTGGTGGGACTTTAGGCGTAAGAGGACTCATGGACAGGAACTGTGGACAGCCACGGTCAAACTATGGTCCAGCAGGGAGGAAAACAGAATAATTGCCCCAACCTCTCTCTCCTTCTGCCTTTCAATCTCTTGCTTGTGTTTTCATTGGCCAAATCCAAAGGACCAGGGAGGCCAGTTGGTGCAGTCCGTAAAAGTCAGACTCCTGAGACAAAACACGGTGGAGAAGGCTAGAGAATGGACATGAAAGGAAAAATGGATAATATCTAACACACATTGGTATGGACAGCATTTTCTAGTTACAAATTTGTGTGCCAGTTTGTGGATGGAAAATATGCTGGTACATTCTACTCTACATACAGGCTTCTGTCCTCAGTGTAAGATAGCCTCTACAGTTTCACTATAGAGACTGTCAACTCTTAAAGACCAGGGATGACACTTTATAGAATTACTTTCCTGTGTCCTGCCCATGGTTCAGCAGTTCATATTCTATCTCTCTTGGGGCCTGCAATGAGAATGTCTTTGAAGATCATAATTGTCAGCCTCGATGCCAACATTAAATTTACAAATAGACCTATAGGGTATTCTATTCTTTCTTATTGAGTAATTGTGGACAAAGGATTTTTTAACTTTTAATTTTGAAACCATCTGACACTTACAGAAAAGTAAAAGTTACACAAAAAATTCTCATATATATTTCACCCAGATTCCCCTGAGGTTAATATTTAAGCATATTTGCTTTATTATTATGTAGGTATGCACATCTTAGACTCAGCCTATAGATCTTTAGTTGGTATACAACAGTGCATATTATCAGAAGGCAGTTGACATCAATTTTTCCAGTTACTGGCAATTCTAGTCTTGGTCAATTGATTAAGGTGGTGTCTACCAGGTTTCTGTATTGTAATGTTATTATTTTTGTCTTTGAAATTAATAAATATAACTTGGGTAGATATTTTGAGGACATATAACTATGCTGTTTCTCATTAAAATTTCAACCACTCTATATAACATCATATTTCATAAGAATCAGGTGATTCTTGCCTGAAAGAATTATTATAATTGTTGTGGCCAAATGGTGATTTTTCTCATTCCATCAATCGTTCCACATGTATTAGTTCTTTGTAAGAAGAAAGTTTGTCTTCTCTACTATTTATTTTTTATCAATTTATTTATATCACTGTGGACTCACAGATTTTCATTTAATCTCTGAGTCATAAACCATTACAGTTGTTATTCTTTTCAAAGCTCAAATTATCTAGATTTGGCCATGAGGAGCCGCTTGAGCTGGCTTCTGAATCCCCATGATTCGTTGAACACTTCCTTACTTTCTGGCTCAGCAACATTTTCTCAAATCATCTTTGTATTTCCTGGCCTCAGCCCTGGAATCAGCCATTATTCTAAGTAACATGGATTCCTTTTAGGGAAGAATGGCGTTTATAGAGAAAATATCACTGCTTACAAGGATTCTTTTATATATATATATAGAGAGAAATATATATGGAAGAAACACAGAAAGTATAAATAAGAAACTAATAAACAAATAGAGTTACCCACATGACATGGGTGGGGAATCATGTGAAAAGAATAGTATAAATATTAATCTATAATACATAAATTTCAACCTATTTATATATGTATTAGAAACTATAAGTTCAAACTGACATCTCCAATTCCAATGCCCCCACAAAGTTCTCTCCAGCTTCTTCTTTTCTCTATACATGACACCTTTCCCTGATGATGAGAGTCATTCCCTTTATCAACAATATTTTTACTTATTCATTGAGTCCTGGAATGCATGTTAAGTAATTTCAGAATCTTGAAACCATATCACTGTGGATGACAAAACTACTAAGTGCAGCTCAATCTACTTTGCAGTTTTTTTTTCTAAAGGTGTATACACAAAATACTGTGTTCCAG